TAGGGTTTAGGGTTTAAGGTTAGAGTTCAGGGTTTAGGGGTTTAGGGTTTAGGGTTTAGGGTTTAGTAGGGGTACTACTGAGTTTTTTTATGGGCTTCAAAGGGTTCTATTGGGCTTCTTGTTTTAGGCCTAAAAGGGTAGTGTTGGGCTTCTTTTAATAAGCTTGAAAGGGTACTATTGGGTTTCTTTTCTAGGCACCCTTGAAGGATGTTAGGGTTCCCTTTAAAGGGTTTCGGGCTTCAGGGCACAAGGGCTCGGCTCAGGGATAGAGTTTCAGTACTGGCCTTGGATAGCGCATGTGCGTCTCTTCATGTGCTTCATGTGTGTACTGCTAAACGTCCTGCAGCAGACCGGTGAACCCAGCCTTGAACCCTAAACCCTAAACCGCTCAGGATGTCAACCTAAACCCTAAACCCTAAACCCTAAACCCTAAACCCTAAACCCCTAAACCCTGAACTTTAAACCCTAAACCCCAAACCCTAAACCGCTCAGGATGTCAATTGGTGGGGCTGGGCTACCGACCCTCGAAGGGAACCCCTCCTGGTACATCACCAGAACGACCGAGTTCTTACAGGGATGGCATACTTCACAAAGGAGGGCTGGATGCCTGGCGGAATTTGAGACAAGCTGTTCAGGTCTAGGGGCTCAGCGTTCACTTTTCAAGGTTTAGGGCACTTGAAAGAGAGAGAGAGAGAGAGAGAGAGAGCGAGAGAAGAGACCCCTAAACCCTAAGCCCTAAACCTTAAGCCCTAAACCCTAAACCCTAAACCCTCTACCCTAAACCTTAAACCCTAAACCCTGATCCACAAACCGCCAAGGATGCTGCGATGGTGCAAGACGGGGCCTGTCAAGATGCACCAGTCCACCAACTTTCCTTGGCAGAGTAGCTCGGTAAACCCTAAACGGTTTAGGGGTTCAGGGTTTAGGGTTTATGGTTTAGGGTTTAGGGGTTAGGGTTTTTGGGGCGCTCTCGGTGTATTCGGTCATTCTGGGGTCTTAAAGCCTGAGCCCGAAAGGACCCGATTATCAGGATTTCTACGACTTAGGCTCTAAGTTTAGGGTCGAGGGTTCAGGGTCTAGGGTTTAGGATGTAGGATTTCGGGTTTAGTGTCTTCAAGAACTGGAGCAGGGCTTGCGGGTTTGATTCTACTATGGCTATGATGCTATAGGGACTGGCTATAACTGGATATCATAAAGCTGCAACACATGGCCTCAAAAGCTAGAACAAGGTTTTGGGACTGATTCTACTATGATGCTAGAGGAAGTGATCATAATGTGTTATCACAGACTTTTATACCACATGTCAACAAGCGTGTTTTGAAGCTCAGCCGCTCAGGTGAGATCAACAAGGATCCGGAGATTGATATGCCTCGACTTCCCGTTACAAACTGGATGGTGTACCAGAGGGTCGAGAGTCATGACTTGAACAGCGGTTTAGGGGCCTTAAATTTCTAGACTAGGGTTTGGGGGTATAGTCTACTATAACTATAGCAAGGAAGCCCCAAAACCCTATTCTAATTATAAGGCCCCTACAGTAGTTTGTGGGTCTGGCAGGACTTACAGGGGTTTGGGTTTAGCTGATTGCGGGTTGAAGCGAATGAGTACGTAGCCCGAGCCCAGCAGATTTGCTATCAGCTCGTTTGATATAATAAAGGGGTCGGAAAAGTTCGTATGACCCCTTATAGTCCCTAACATGACATCCCGAAACCTTATTTCAGTTACAAAGGCTACAGAGGCACTAAGGGCCCTATATCACATGACATTTTGTAGCGGATGCTTGCGACAGAAATGCCAATCTCGGAAGGGTTGAGGGTTTAGGGAATCTCTAGAATTCAGAGCCTCTGTAGAAGAACCCTTAAAGGCTGAACCCCCCCCCCCCCCCAACCACCACACCCTTACAAGAATTGGTGAAACTCTGTCGATGCAAACCCTCAAGTCGCAGCTCGAAGCCCATCCCGATCAGAGGGTGTAGGGTTCAGGGTACCGAAGCCACGAAGGTTAGGGTTTAGGGTTTAGGGTGTAGGGTGTAGGGTTGCTATGCTTGTTATGATGATTCTTGTTATCATTACGACTGCTACTTTGGTTTTGGAAGTGTAAATCCCCACCACTCTCAAGCCATAAGCCCCGAGGCTGAAACTCAGCACACACAGACACACACCACGTCTTTTGGAAGCTGAGGAACCCCACAGAAGACTGCTTGAACCCCTTAAAACCTCTGCTATTCTTAATGTTATTGTTATTGTCACTGTGATTTGCTTTATTCTGATCTTCACTGCTACCATTCTTATGGTGTTCTGGTGTTCGTTACTGATTTACTAATTCACTAGTTCACTAATTCACTACTTCACTACTTCACTACTACTACTACTACT